TGGCTGCGGCATGTCTCAGTGGAGGGCAGCTCGTCGCTGTCGCAGGGCTTGGTGGTTATGCCCCCCCCCCTCCCCCGTTCTCAAACAAAAGTTTTATTGTTTTCGGGTGACTCAACTCGACGGATCGTGCTGGTCCAGACGCGTCTCACCAGCTGACCAGAGGGAATGCCTTTACTGGCTGCCCCACAAGTGCCCCGATAGTGACACGCAGTGACCTTCGCAGGAGACGGCGGCGTTCACCATGAGCAAGGCCGGCAAGTCGAGGAAGAGGAAGCTCTCCGGGTCTGCGGACGAGGTGGAGAGGATGCGAGTGTGCATGAAGGTGATGGCCGACAAGCTCAAGGCCGCGGACGACAAGATCAAGGCCTCGGGCGACGAGCTGGAGACACTCCGCCGCCATCGGGACCAGCTGGCCGAGGAGGTTGAGATCCTACAAGAGAGGAGCCTGGCGGAGGTGCTCGTGGTGAGTACACCCACACCCTCTCCCCCTCCCAAGACTTCTTACCTCCGCTTGGCCTCTAACGCCTCCTGCCGCGCCCACAGCTCCAGCCGCGGCAGATGCAAGTGCAGGACCTGCCCCTCCACGTGATGCTGCGCATCTTCGACATGCTGGACCGCACGTTCCTCACGGACGTGGTGAGCGCCGTGTGCCAGCAGTGGCTCCTCGCGGTGTGCGAGCCCTCGCTCTGGGCGCGCGCCACCCTGACCTATGGCAACTCGAAGGTGAGTACAACGCGACCACGCACCATTTTTCAGGAAAATTCTCGGTTGTGCACTAAATGAGAGTCTACCCGTTCGATTATGGTGGTAGGGGTGGAAACGCAATGGCATCTGCGGGTCTGATCACTTGCCGAAGAAGAAAGGCGTCGTTGCGAGTGACGTCCACCCCGCACGGCGCGGGTAGGCAATAGGCAACCCTCCTGCTCGCGTGTGTGCGGTGCAGTCTAACTACGGAAGTGGGCGGGCGAGGCGCGGCTGTCTGATTGATGATGTTGGTTTCGCGCGGTTGTCAGACCTAGTGAAGAAGTTGTTCCTTTTTTTTGTGGACCCGAATGGGGGCACAAAACATTAAAAGATACTATTTGCAACTGACTTTCTGTCCCGTCATGCGCAGGGGTCGGCGATGGGCGCGACTGGGTTCGTGCGCACGCTCGGCTCCGCTTCCATGCTGTACGCCCTGGAGTGCGGCCTGTCACCGGCAGACCCGCCCGCCGTGCACCAGATGCTGACGACGTGCGCAACGGCCGTCGAGCACCTGTGCTTCGACCTGGACACGGCCGCCCCCGAGGCCGTGCTGCGCCTCATGTGGAACTCACGGCACTGCCTCAAGGAGCTGTCTGTGCGCGAGGGGCCCCTGGGCGGGTCCGACTTCTCCTACAGCCAGGCTACCAGGTAGGATAGCTCTGCGGCTTCATTCTGCTCTATGCAGCGCTTGGCGCGGCGGAGCCCAGCTCAACCAACGGAAGTGACCGATTTATCCTGATCTATCAGAGAATGGCGCACGACACCCGCGCTTTGGATAAAAAGAAGTAAATTTTGTGAACGCTTCCAACATTGATTGTACTGTCTTTTTTTCCATTT